TGACATAATAGTGATTCTTCATACCGATCAAAAACGACTTAGGTAATTCAAATAATAGTATCAAATACACACACATATATATTTCTAGATGATCGGCAAGGAGAATGTGGAGTGTTTTATTTTTGAAACATTTAAAATTTTTCCGATTATTCCAACATGACGTAAATCACATGTAGGAAAAAATAATTTAAAAATATTTTACCTGCAGAATCGGAAGACATGGTTAAGATCAGATGCAATAACACTAACAATATCTTACATTTTTTTGACTTCATATAGGCATTGAAGTATTTTTTGAGAACATCCTTTTTGTATGAAACAGTTTGTAAGAAATAGTGACAGATTTCTGCAAGTGCAACTTAAAATAACTACAGAAAATTGATTTATACATTGAAGTTTTTCTTAATTAGATCCTTTAATGTGTGCCTTGGGGGCTTTGGGGCATTTCCTATCTACGTATGTGTTGATGATAAGTATCTAAAAATTGTGTTTGGTTACAATCAGCTCGGACTGAAAGAAATTACTGAGAATGTGAGAAAATCCAAAAACAAGCTTCTTGCGGTATGTTACATGTCATCTTTGTAGATTTTAATTTCAATAGAGTTTTAAACTTTTTTTTCCTGAGTGTCTGAGAGGAAAAAACAAAAAACAACCTTTTTTTTAAATCCTGTAACATATTGCATGACTTTTCAGTGATGCGAGATACGTAAAAATAGAAAAAATAATAAATGTTTTCATTTCTTAGTAAGAAGCTATAGAGGAATACTTCTTATCTTTACCGCTCAGATTTTACCTAAAGACAAATAGTTCCTGCAATCCCTATACAAAGTGTATGAAACGACCTCTTTTAATAAGTTAACATTTTGCAGAAACCCTCTGTATTTTGTAACCATAACAAACTTAATTGGAAACAATTCCACTTTACAAATCCAAGAGAAGGTATATGGAATCTATTGAGTTTATAAAGTGAAGTCAATTTTCGGTTTAGTTTGCTTCTTGATTTGTCAGTTTACAGCTATTTAGTTTACTTCACAGTTATTTTGTATTTTCACAGAAATAGGGTTTTTTGCATCTGCTTCCAAGTTTAAAGGCACTTTTGTCAATAACTTTATGCCACTTATACGAAAATCTGTTTTGGGCTAAGATTCCTTATCTGTGCAACTCTACTCAAAGCTGATTTCATGGATTGTTAACTACTTCAGTGGCAGAATAAAAATATCCAAATACTCATGCAGTCTGCTTACAGTGAAAAGTTTTAGATTATATTTTCAGATACAATTCTCAGTTAAAATTTAATGTGGTTTAGTACTTTTACTATGTCTGTGGTTAATATTACCAATTCCTCTTCCATGATCTCATACAGAAATACGCAGCCACATAGAATATATTTCCTTGGGAAACTCTTTTATATGAACTCTTGAATCTAACCCCCCTTCTTTAACCAGTTATTTCCCTCCCCCACCTTGTGTACAGTGAACTATGGGATTACTAAAGTGGAAGGACAGCCTCTTCACACAGAGCTGAGCAGGCCCATGGACAATTGCAACAATCTCAGGATGTCTCCAGCAAAAGGGATGCAGGAGAAGGGGGAACTGGATGACCTTGGTGATAAGTGTGACAGCAATGTCTCCAGCAGTAAGAAGAGGAGGCACAGAACAACTTTCACCAGTTTGCAGCTGGAGGAACTGGAGAAAGTATTCCAGAAAACTCACTACCCTGATGTCTATGTAAGAGAACAGCTAGCTCTGAGAACAGAGCTCACAGAGGCCAGAGTCCAGGTAGGAACCAAACTTCAGCATTTCCATGACAAGTTGTGCATTGTAGGAACTGGTTAACGACACTCTTGGGGATTGTACAAAAGCCCATATAGCTAAAGTAAATAGCTCGTTTTTCTTTCTTTATGGATATGGGATGTTATGCTGAAGTATTAAAGTAACTTGTTATTTTTAAAACAGCTTGTGTTGCTGTTCTAGAAATTTGTTTAAAGGATGAGAAAACAACATCAGTAGTAAAGCAGTCTTGATCTCTGGTAGTCCTGTTTTACTGTCAGAATTCCAGGCAGTGGATACATAAAGTGTTACGTGCAAAGATTCCATTAAAGAGATGCGTTGCGTGTAGTTCAGACTGATGATGATGCAGAGCTCGCATGCAGAGGATTCTATGTGTGGCATGAAAAGTGATCAAATTCCCCGTTTCTGTCCAAAGAGTATTCAGTGAAACTGCACATACCTAAATGTGTATAAATATATATACATACATGTATGCATGTGCGTGTATGTTTGTGTCTGTGTAGAGCAAAGGCATAATATTTTAATCTCTGTTGTGTGGAATGAGTTTAAAAATCACAAAATTAGGAAGTATATTTGCTGATTTTTAAACTCACATAATCAATGGATAATATTATTCTAATTTCTGGAGCAAAATATACTATTGACCACTTAGTATAGTATTTGAGTATCATTACTGTGCACAAAGGTGATTGTTTCAGTATATGCTCATACAATAATCTCAACAATATTTGTGGCTTTGGATGTGTCATGGTGAGAAAAGAAGCTAAACCTCTAGGAAATGCAACCCTTCCCCCATTTAGAGATCTTCCCTTAGAAAAGGGTGTGAGCTGCATTTTGCAAGTTTATCCTATTTTTAGAGATCTTTCCCATCCTGGTAATACTCATCGTTTCAATTTAGGGAACAGCAGTCCTGTCGATTCTTACAGATCAGGATTAATTTTTTTAATTTAGTGACATGAACATGATAACAACTTCACAACTTGTAATTAAACACATACTCACACATGCATATAAAGAAATAGACATCAGTGCACATGCATACAACTGAAATTAAACCAGAATCAGTTTCAGAAACAAACTCAGCTAAGTGATTTTATAAGGAAGTGTTTTTTTCATGTCTATTCAGTCAGTCAGCATATTCACTGTTGTCATCGGAAAACAGAGTCCAAAATCATGTGTCAGTTACAATATTAGTGATGCTGATGGAAATTAGTTCAGTGGCTTTTAACTCTTCGGGCTCTGTGCAATCCCTCTCCCTCTGAATTTGGGACAATTTTCCAAGTATGACTTCTATTCATTAGGATTTAGTCTTGACTTAAAAAAATATGCTCGCATAATGTTTAAACACTCTTCTGACAATTGCATAATTCTGGAACAATGAGAACAACTCCAAGAAAAAATTAATAGTCGGAACAGGGAGGGGAGAATGGGGCTAAAATATGCCAACTGACTTTTTTATCATATTTTTTTCCTAAGTTTTAGAAGCTCCATGTGGTAAAAGTATTAAAAATATGATAGTAAATGTGAAAACGTATATGTCTGCACCAGGCTTTGATAGAATATCTATTCCTATTTTATTTAAACACATTCTCCCCTTTCTTAAAAGATAACTGATCTTTGCATTTCTCATATGCTAAATACAAAAAGAAATGGTGATCATTTTTATCCGGAGTAGCAACAATATTCCGTCACAAGATTAAGCAATTTAAAAGGCCTTACATCATTAGAGGCAAGCATCTGGCAATTCAAGGATAACAAGCAGCAGATTTTTACATTGCTTTGTGGAGGCAAATGGTTACTTTATCTCTGCCAAGAGTCAGTTTCTAGTAAAGTGATGTAAACAGAAACATTTTGGGGGATTGTCAAAGGAAAAAAATGTGTGCTTTTTTCTTGTCTAGTTACTATAAATTCAAGCAAATTGTTTGATTTAGTTTAGCAGAGTGATCAGCTGGATACCTTACCCACATTTCCCTTCACCGCCATTTCATCAAAATCCAATTTAATATTTGTCCTGAATACATGCAGAGAGAGCCAACCTGAACCTAATTTATCGAAGTTGTTCTCTTTCCTGCTGCATGTCAGTGAAGTAATTGGCACCCATTTTAAGGAGATTGTCAAGGTCTTTTTTCAATGAAAGAGCCTCATTACTAAATTCCCTTAGCGTGTTCTTGATGCCTCCTGTGGAGACAGGAGAATTTTTTTTTTTTCCTTTTCTTTTTGCTGAGCCTCAGGCATCATAAATAATACAAATTTACCAACAAGGTCCCTAACAATATGTACTCGGCAGTTACATACACGGGCCTTGCTTTGATTGCCGAGCACACTTTAAAAGATTGCACATACTAAATTTGCAACAAGTCCTTGGAAACGAAAATGAGCAAAATTATGCCCTGGTTTCTTAAGCAGCATCAAAGGACAATTGAGTTCTCCAAAGATCAAGGCAAAAACTGATTTTTAAACCAATGTTTTTTTAAATACCCCACCATTAGGGATCAGAAAATATCCCTCAAAATGGGATTCACATTCAGTGTCTATACAAAAAAACCCTATTAATGTATGTATCTATCCAAATGAATTCATGATCCATTTAGGAGGAACGCTAACTGATGGAATTGTCTCCTTAAAAATGTAATTGTTCTGTTAGTAGTGTAACTTCTTTAAAAAGAGTTTGAACGAGTTTGCCCCTAGCTGAACAATAACTTAGATGAATAATTTTACTTTTGTAAAGGAACAGTTATTTAGCAATCCCTTTAATTCATCAAGATAAGTCTAAACCAAACTGAAATAAAAAAAATAAATTTTTTTGAAGACCACAGGAAAATGACAGATATCAGTCAGAGCAAGAAATGTGGACGTAATAGGTTTTGAGATAACACCCAACACTCAAAATAATACAGAACGATCCAAAAGTTGTTTAAGCATAAATAAAATAGGTTTTGGCTGACAAGAAGACATTGTTTCAGGTCCAAATTATTTCATAGTCTAAATGTAGGTGTAATTCTTCAGTTTTCCACCGTCAGAAACACAGATATCTCCTAACACAAATGTGAAAATATCACAATAGTTTTAAAACTGTCTGTGATCCCATGATTTTTTTATCGTCTTCCTGCCCTGTTAGTCTTCCTCATAGAAACTTTTTGATAGGAGCACAGACTACAGTCCTGGTGCCAGCTTTTCCTGCCTTTTCATTACTGCACTTGACAAAGACGATGTATACCTCTAGGAGGCAGATCTTAGTTAGTCATATCAAGTCAGTGGGTGTGTGAAATTGAGAGAAAGTTTCTTTACAATTTGACTTGCTGCTACTTAGTGATTAGTACTGCCTGACTGACTGATCTTTCCTCTGCCCTTTTTTTTTTTTTTTTTTTTGAGACACTACAAAGGAAATAGCATATCCTTTTTAAATACCCAGAAATAATTTGAACAGGTGTGACATTGAGAAGATTGAAATTGCAGGAAATTAATCCTCAGGTGGAGAACTTCTCTTTCTCTACATAAACAGATATTTTCAAAGCTACTGTCCAGAATCTCTTGGTTTTTTCCTAAGACTCCTTGCACAGTATGAAATTGTGTTTACCTTGATGATTGTTTCCTCATTTACTGTAGGTTTGGTTCCAGAATCGAAGAGCAAAATGGAGGAAAAGAGAACGTTATGGTCAGATCCAGCAAGCTAAGAGCCATTTTGCTGCCACCTATGATATATCTGTTCTTCCAAGGACTGACAGCTACCCTCAGGTATGGTAAAGACCAAGTAGCACTTCGGTTCTGCATTTACCTTCTCTTCCATTCTTAGGCATGCACGTGCACAGAAGATGCAAGAAGACTTTTTTGTGGTTAGCGTTCTGTGTTTTTTAGACATGTTGACAGGACCTGCCCCAGTGAACAACAGTTCTGACTGCCAATACAAATAATTAACTCTTAAAATACAAATGTTTTTTAAACAACATTCTCAGGAGTTTTGCATAAGTTATGTGCTGAGAATGGCTGGCAATCTGGTTGTGCAGCTAAACCTGGTTTGCACATAAAATTATGTGGAGATATGAATCACTTTTAGGTCCATATACAAATTATGGATGAAGTCTAGACCCATTGAGATTGACAGGAATGATGTAATTTTGACCACAATAAGGTCAGGATTTCAGTTCTGGGATATTAATATTCACAGGCACAACTGTCTTAACGACTCTGGTCTTGTATACTTTGGGAAGATGAGGCATAAACCATGTGATGTCTAGGCAACTTCCTTCTGATACATTAAACATACACCATCTATATATGGACCTCAATAGACCATTGAATACAAGTCTTCTACTGACTTGAAACCATATTATGGCTATGTACAATCAGAATTGAATGTATATGATTGGGAGAGGGAGACAGAGTGACAATATAGCTCTCTTGGACAGGAGTAGTTTGTTTAATTTTTTTTCTTTTTCACTTCTCTGTTAGTGTATAGTAAGGTATTGCTGTGTAATAAGACAGTAATCTTCTGTTTCTGTTCTCCAGTCCTTTGTTTTACTGCCTTCCCTCACTCTCTGCTATTGTTTTTCTGCTTGCTTGTTTTAGTACATTGAATGCTTTTATTGTGAAGCCATTGTTTTTCACATCTCTAGCTTCCCACTGCTTTTACCACAAAATTTAAAAAAAAAAAAAAAAGAAAAAAGGACCATACAAAGCAAAAATCTTGTACGGGTTCCTGTGGTAAAGTCCTTCCACTGCTGGTGTCCTGGTGGTCTTCTAGTTCATTAGGAAGCAGGGTCTCTGCCAGCCTCAGCTACATACTCATATTCCAAAAAATTACTGGTGATATATGTATGTGGGGTTGCTTTGGTCATGCTCTGCAATGGCTGAATGTGTTCAGCTTTGAACCAGAGGCCTCGGGTCCATGTGTCATCTCCCCAGCTTAAAGTGCTTTACCTCTGAGGAGGCTGCATACTATTAGGTTTGAGCCAGAGCTGGCTTGTGTTCCAGCATCTCACACAACTGTTATCAGACCTGGTGGCACTTATCTGTCTGCCTGTTTTTATTTTATAATGTAGTGGTGCTTTAGCCCAAATTACTTTAGAAGCCACTGTATGAAACATTCTGTATTTAAGTAGGAGAACATAATACTTGTTTGAGACCTACCTGGGTGAAAGTGTGCAAAAACACCTTAAACATTGCTAGGCAGATTCACAAAGACGTAGATGCACAGTTGCTCACAGGTGTCACTCAAGGTGCTCAATTAGCTTTTGAAGGCCTTTCTCACCTATCTATAGTACCACAATCACAGATGATACAAGGAATTATACACTTAAGCTTTGGTCTTTCTATCCCTGACTTAGTTCTGCAGACTAATATTTGTGTCTCCAAGCTCATCTTGTATTTTTAGTAGACTTCATGTACAAACTTTCCCAACTGGCAAAAGTTTAATTAACATAAGACAATGGAATAATTCAAGTCATTGGTAAACACTTAAAATTGTTGTCCCGGAATTAATGTTTTTTTAAAAGAAACACTTTTGAATTAGGAGAATATAATCCACAAAAATCTAAACCAAATTAAATATTGATCCTATACTTTCATATTGTTAAAAATATGAGAATTAACTGCATTTCTATTTACAAATTTGCAGAAAAACATCTTTCCGAGGCTGATAACAGAACTAAGTTTCAGCCTGGCAAAACTTTCTACCGTTAATTTATAAGTTCTTAAAAACAGGAGATTGAAATGGAAATGTTGGTACAGTAATCTTAAATAAAACTTTTCTAAAATGTGTTGAAACGTAGAATGTGTACTCATTCATGAACATAAATGTACAGTACTCACCTACAACCACAGGCTAACATACTGTAGGTAAACAGGCAGGCAAAAATACATAACTGAGCCTGGTCACCTGCATGAGAAACTGTACTGTACTTCATGAACAGGAACAAGGAGCTAAATGAAGGTGTGAGTTCACTTTACACTGGTTATTTCAGCTGACTGTATGCATAGTTTGGCCACATGATGAAAAACATGGTATCTTACTCTTTAATGAAGCAAGTGACTACTTTGCTCTATATTGGAATATGAATATCCAGGCAATTATCACAGAAGAGTCAATGTAAGTTCACTTTCTTGCTGACTTAGTGGTAGTCCTGCAGTTTCACATTCTTAAATCCTTACCTTCAGTAAAACCATGTCTGCACCATATACATGACATTTCCAGTGAGAATGCTTGAGACAACGAAAATTCATATTAAAAACACAATGACCACTAACAGCACTACATTAAAATCTTTTGAACTAGCTGTCCATTTATATGTGCCTCGCTTATGGAAAATAAGAGTATAGTACATTACTTGCTATAAACTCACTAATCTATCCCAAAGTTCAGTCAGAAAAAGATATTGAAAATTGTTATCCAAATAACTTTTGGTTTTACTGTTATAGGTTGGTTTCCCAAACAATTACATTATTTTAGTGTAGGTAATGCAAGAAAAGAAATCAAATACACTTTTTTCCTTTTATTTTCTTTTCCTTTTTTTTTTCTTCCCTTCCCCTCCTCCCCCCACCCTGTGTACAAGCTGACATCAGTAAATGCTAGACAAGCTTTGCCATATTTTTGGGTAAATAGCTTTTCTTGGGGATTGTGCAACACAGATCTCTAGAGCTTATTTATGAAACCTTTATTAACACAGGAGAAAACAGACTCTGTTACTGGCAAAATATATGCTGAATGTTGGAAAAGGATGAAATCAAGCTGAGATATTTACTGCTGTGTGGCAGAAGGAACAGGAACAAATGTGAATTTCTGGTGTGCATTATATGAATTTGCAGTCTGATGATTTCTGTTTTGTGCCCCACCACAGATATGTTCACAAACAGACACCCCACTTGCATTCCAGCAGCAACATCAGTCTCTTTTGCACTCAACAGAGGGTATGGAGACCCCTACTTAGTCTCTTCACCAGTTATCTTCATCAAGTAAAAATTAAGAACATGATGCTGTTATGCATTATGTGACTATATAAACCTGAAAGGTTTTCCTGTGAGGAAATGATCTTTTCAATAGAAGGTTGGCTCAGAATCAGAGAACGGTTGAGGTTAGAAGGGACCTCAGGAGGTGGTCCGGTCCAGCCTCCATTTCTATAATCCAGTCTAATTTTACTATTAAATTACACATCTTTATCTTAAAAATGGTAATAAACAATTTAGTTTTTTCTTTTTTCCTAGCTCATAATTGTTTGCTTTGCTAATTCAGTCTAGCCTTAATTATTTGTACAGTATGTTGACTTTAGGTGCTGCTTATTGTGCAAAATAGTTGCTCAGCTGGCTGTCAAGAAGCTCATTGTCTCCTACACTGTTCAAATTCTGCACACAAACATCTTCCATTAACTACAATAGCAACACCTGTATTGCAGAGGAGGACAGAGTTAGTACACTATTCCAGGGCAATCATCTATTTTTTCACATGTTTTTTCTAGGCTTTAACATCAAAAATACCACAGCATTGTTTTCACTCAGATTAAATACTTAACTTTTGGCAACATTATGCTGAAAATCAGATTTTTCTAGGAAAGTGCTATATACAGTACTTTCCATTCATCTTAGTGAAAGGTTTCAGTTTGATTAGCTTCAGCATTTAAGCTTCAAGCTTCTCTTGCAGATGCAACACATTGTGGTCTCAGTCATCTTAAGTGCACTCAGAAAACAATTCACTGGTTAAAACTCTTATCCCAGACACTTTGAGACTCATTAACTAACAATATTCTGCTGATGTTATGAAAGCCAAGCATCTTAACATCAGTGAGAAAATGAACACAGATTAATTTCCTGGAGGTGTTTACTTCAACTCATGTGAGTAAATGAGTTGAGTACAAGCAGTACTTGATTGGGTCGCCTAAAGACACTGTCTAGTGTTATTAAAGATGTCTTGGGATTTCTGAGACACTGTTACAGTGCTGATGAACAGGACTCACAAGAAGGATGCACCCTTCAGGGGAGGCATCTGGTGGTCAGATAAATATTAGACGTTTGTCTTTAGGAAAAATAACCAAAGAGTCTTTTATGCCAGAGGTGGGTTCCCTTTAAAGTTGGAGAAAATCTGCTCTGTTAAGTTTTCCCTTCCTAAAGTATAAGGTATAAAATAGATAAGATGATCTCTGAAAATGGACTTTTTTCCCTGATGCCTGGTGCAGCTGCAGACATCTATATTTATCTTAGATGCATCTAAACACTATGTGTCGGGAGAAGAACAATAAAAAGGTTGCTTAGCCTTGCTCTTCTCTTACTTTATTGGTCTTGACCACTTTTGCTGTCCTATGCCTAGTGAGAAGGCTGGTGTTACAAAGGGTACTTGACCTTGTCAGATTTAACGTTAAGTATGAGAAGTAACAAGGGACCAAAAAACTTGAGACAGAATTCAATTTTTATCCTCTCCTTATTTACACACAAGAGAGTGAAATCTGATGAAAAGCCTACATTATTATCACGCAGACCTCCAGCTTTCCCTGTATGAGTTAAATTTATAAAGATGTTATCTTTATAAATGTAAGTGCATCAGTATGTAAACAAACATTAAATTGTATCTGTGAAAAGCAGATATAAAGGGAAACATTTTTCCCTCACCTAGGCTCTTTCCATACTTTGTATCTTTTCTTGATTGATCTTTGAGCCTGGTTAATTTGTTGTCGTTGTTCTTCTAAGTTCTTTTAACAGGGTTTATTCTGTCACACCATTATACTTTCCCTCTTATCATCACAGTTGAAACG